AGCCGAGCTGAATGAACGGATCATCGGCTGGTCTTGGATCACCCTGCCTCTCTCGTCTCGTGGCCATCCCACGTGCTCCGTCCGCAGAACCGCTGCATTTGGTGCAGTTTGCTTTCAGCGCGCGACAAAAATAACACCTCGGAAAGAAAACGCTCTGTGTTTTACACAGACATGCATCCCACGCGTGGATTCGGCTTCGGATTTAGTTTCATTCATGACAATCTACCGCATAGGTGAACCCTTGAACCAGGACACTCGCAAAAAGAGGCAGAGCAAAGCCTGGAAGCTTTTTTATATGGGTCCTCGCCAAGCTCCTTAGGTGTCCTAAAATATGCCCGGTTCGCTTTCTACCCTTTTTCCCCTATTTTTTTTTTTTTTTTTTACTAATTTTAATTTTGATGCCGTTTCTTCAAATGTAAACCATTGGGAAAATAATGCAATATCTTATGTTACATCTTTAAAATTTGCAAAAACCAAAAGTGCCGGAAATTTTCTTTCTTTTGTGAGTAAATTTAATCTGCTGGTTTAATGCCCTGTTCTTCAGTCTACCTTTATTATTGTTATTTTATTCTTTTTATTATTGTTCCCTCTCCTTTTATCTTTGGTCTTCTTCTATATTAAGATATGCTTTATATACTTTCTGTGAATGCTGTTTATACAGTTCTGGGCTGGTACCTGATGCATGTAAACGGGTTAAATAAAGTTTTTTTTTTTTTTTTTTATAAATAAATAAAGGTAAGGAGCTCATTCCTTTGTTTTTTCAAACGCATATCTGGCATTTATTGTAGTTTGTTCAACGATTTAAATTTAGATATCTGTTAATATTTTGTGATATTATTAATTTTATGTAAAATAAATCTGATTTTAAGCGTATGAAATCACAGTTTTAAACTTGTTTGCAATGTTATTTTCATTTAACAGGCTTTCGGAAAGACTAAGCAGAAAAATTGATGTTTATATGGTGTATAACAGTTTGTAAGATGTTATGTTGAGAAGTGCACAACCATAGACATGTGTCTCTGTGCTCAACATTACCGCCCCCTACTGTACAATAGTGTCAAAAGCACGTCTCTGGTTCTTGGTCATATTCAGTTCATTGATCCTGTAACTTAAAAGCTTAAAATTCTATTTAATTTGAGTTCATTTATATAGAGCCAATTCACAAGACACGTCATCTCAAGGCCCTTTACAGAGACAATTCAACCAGATCTTACAGTCCAAGAAAACCAGCTGATTGCATCGACTCATTGACTCTTTAGCAATCCCTCACACTAAGCATGCTTGTAGCGACAGTGGAGAGGCAACTGTCAACCAGCTCCACAGGCGGCCCCGTCCAGGAAACACACAGCCAGGCAGACGAGCTCCG